CACTTATCGACCTAGAAAGCAGCAAGGACTATCTGATGCCTTATCGAGGAGATCGTATCTTGTACCAAAGGCTGAAGAAGCAGCGTTTGATCAACAATGTACGACGTTGTTGAAGCCAAAGTAATTTTGGCTTTGCGCTACTATTATGCCAATTGATGTTGACTTCTTGAATCAGGTACGTGCTGTGACCATTGAAGATTCAGTAGCCATTGATATCAAGCAGCGTGCCAATGATGATAAGTTCAAGGTAGAAGGAGATCTTTTATACTTTGAGGAGCAGTTGTATATTCCAAAAAGACCAGCACGACTCCGAGTTCTTCAATCTTGCCACAATTTTCCAACTGCGAGACATTTTGGATTTAACAAGACCTTGGAGCTTATTTCTCGAGATTTTTGGTGGCCCCAAATGTGGAAGGATGTGAAAGATTTTGTCCTCTCTTGTGACATTTGTTCAAGATCGAAGAATCCTCGGCATCGCCTTTATGGACTCCTATAGCCATTGCCGATTCTACGTCGACCATGGTCTTTAGTTTCCATGGACTTCATCATGGACCTGCCATCATCAAACTCATTTGACAGCATCTTTGTCATAGTAGATCGGCTTACAAAGATGGTGCACTTTATCCCTTCCAAGAAGACATCGTCCAGTGAAGTCACAGCAAGGTTCTTTCTCGATAATGTGTATCGATATCATGGACTACCAGATGATATCGTATCAGATTGAGGAACCCAGTTTGTATCAAAGTTTTGGAGATCTCTCTTTGAGATATTGAAGGTGGATATCAAGCTTTCTTCGGCTTATAATCCTCAAACTGACGGCCAAACAGAACGGATGAACCAAATCTTGGAACAATACTTACGATGCAGCATCAACTATCAGCAAGACGATTGGACCACATATCTGCCGCTAGCCGAGTTTGCATATAATAACACCCTCCATGCGTCGACTCAATACACACCATTCTTTTCCAACTATGGGTATCATTCGAAGCTTGATTTATTGAGTCCGTCAACAAATAACAATCCAGCAGCTGAAGGATTTACGAAACAACTATCAGAGCTTCAAAATACGTTGAAGCTTCAATTACAATCCGCTCGAGAATCCTACAAGGCGTCTGCAGGTAGATTTCGGAATCAAGTACTTACTTTCAAAATTGGAGATAAAGCATGACTTCTTCGACGGAATATCAAGACCAAGCAACCATGTGATAAGTTGGACTATCAAAGATTGGGACCATTTATCATCCAGAAGTAAATCAATTCAGTGGCGTACCGTCTGGAATTACCGGCTTCTATGAAGGTACATCCAGTCTTTCATGTTTCTCTGTTAGAGCCTTATCGAGAGTTGTCTTTTCTTGGAAGAGTACAATGTTTGCCACCTAGTATTGAGATCGAGAACCACGAAGAATACGAGGTTGAAAAGGTGATGGATTCATGGCAAAGGTGGGACAAGTTGGAGTATCTTGTTCATTGGTGGGGCTACGACATTAATGAGCGAACGTGGGAGCCATCTGAAAATCTCGCCAATGTGCCATAAAAGGTACAGGAGTTTTATCAACAACATCCTAATAAACCTAAGCTGGTTCGATGATAGCTTCCTTTTAAAGCTTGCTCACCCAAGAATATAAGAAAGGAAGAGAGCACCACCAAAATTCGCAATTGATGTAGTTATTTTTTCCAAGATAAAGTAGAATTTTTTTAGTAGCCATAGTTTGGTCTTCTGATATGGATAGCCAAGAGATAGATACTATGTCAGTCAGATTATCTCAAGTGACTAGCTCACGAAGGCGACCCTGAGATGAAGAACTACCTACACCACGACGACGATGGAGGATACCGAATAACCGATTACTAGTGATTGTATTTGAGTTCGAGCCTGCTTACGATGGTCAACCAGAAGGCATGTTTGTAGGACATTTTTTTAATGAGGACACGGAAGTTCATGCTTGGTCAGAAGTCGAAGGAGTAGGCCACTAAAATTGGCTTCAAGGACCAATGAACCACTTGCCTCATGAACAACAGTTGGAGTTCATAGCAGACGTTATGCGATAGATCTTCATTTTTTTGCGTTGGTACTGATTAACAACAACATTACTTCTCAGAGACCTCGAAGCTAAAGGAGGGGGTGATGTTAGGGACATAGTCCTTAGAATCTTCTAAAGACAAGTTTCTAGAACCTTCTAGAAGCAAGTATCTGGAATCTTCTAGAAGCTTCTTAGTTAGTAGAAGATGTTAGGAACATAGTCCTTAGAACCTTCTAGAGACAAGTTTCTAGAATCTTCTAGAAGCAAGTCTCTGGAACCTTCTAGAAGCTTCCTAGTTGGTAGAAGTTGCTTGAGAAGCTTCCTAAATAGGAGTATATATTGGAATCGAGGCTGAAGAGTTCTTCAGACTTGACAACACATGTCTTGGAGCTCTAGCTCACCTCTCTGGTGTTGTTCTTGTATTCATCTGATTAATCTAGTTTTTGCCAATTCTTCTTGAACTTCTTGTTAGATCTCGAGTTTGTATTTTTGTGTCCGTGACATTAAGCTACAGATGATATTTGGGAGAGACCATCTATTATGGTAGATAAATCATTTTCATATATGATTATAGAAGCCTTTTCTTGCAAGGAAGACGATCTTAAACTTCAAACCATCAAGGAGGCGATGCGTCGCTTTGATTGGTTAAATTAGAAAACTGCTATTGAAGAAGAGTATGTTTCTTTGCGTAAGAAGAAAGTCTTTGGTCCAATTATAGACACTCTTACATCTCGCCCTGTGGTATATAAGATGGTATTAATACGCAAGCAAGATGCTCAAGGCCAAATAACCTGCTATGAAGCTCGTCTTGTTGCTCAAGGATTTATTCAACGATTTAGCATTGATTATGAATCTACATATTCTCCAATCATGGATTCAATTACATTTCGATATATTATTGGAATGATAGTTCATGCCACCCTTGAAAGGCATCTGATGGATGTAGTAAGTGCATATCTATATGGTTCTCTTGATGCAAATATTTATATGAAAGTTCCACCTGGCTTAGAAAATAGGAACTCCAAATGGACCCACTCTAGGACACTATTGTGGTATTAAATTATGTAAGGCCCTGTATGGTTTAAAACAATCTGGACGCATGTGGTATCAATGTCTTTAAGATTATTTAATTACAAATAATTTTATAAGTGATCTATTAATCCCTTGTTTATTTATTAAACGAGATAAAACTGGTTTTGTGATCATCATTATATATGTTGATGATCTTAACTTAGTGGGCACTACATCTATATGTGTTACAGCTACTAACCTACTTATACATGAATTTAATATGAAAATGCTTGGAAAAACAACTTTCTGTATTGGTCTTTAGATTATGCATCTAACAGATGGTAGCACTTTTCTCTACCAACTAACGCATATTAGACGAATCTTACAAAGATTTAATATGATTGATGCTTATCCATTGTTCACACCAATGGTTGGACGTGGTCATGATGGTCATGATCCATACCGTCTATGGGAAGAGGAGGAGGAAATATTGGGAGATCAAATATCCATACCTCGTAGCGGTTGGAGCACTTTTGTATTTAGTTACATCTACAAGATCAGATATTGCATTTGCAGTTAGTGTTCTTGCAAGACATAGTGCACGTCCAATACTATGACATTGGAATGGCATCAAATATTTATTACATTATTTAAAAGGTACTGAAGACTTCGGATTATACTACATACAATCCTCAGATCCAAAATTGGTTGGATATTGTGATGCAGGATATAAATCTGATACTGCAACATCTAAATTTCAAACAGGATATGTATTTTTAAGCTACAATATTATGGAAATCAGTGAAAAAAACAATAACTGCAACTTCATCCAACCATGCAAAAATTATTGCCTTATATGAAGCATCTCGAGAATGTATTTGGTTGCGATCAATTGATAAATTCATTCAAACAACATGTGGATTTTCATATGATGATTCTCCAACTATCTTGCATCAAGATAACAGTGCTTATATTGCACAGATGCAAGTTGGTTTCATTAAAGGCGACAGGACAAAGCATATTGATCCAAAGTATTTTAGTTATATCCATAACTTGATTACTGATCAAGCACTTATAATTAAGAAAATTGAATCTTCAAATAACCTTGCTGATCTCTTTACCAAAGCTTTCGCATTGTACAAGCATCGTCGACTTACCTATGGCATTGATATGCAACAACTTGCTTTTCTTGAATAAGAAAGTTAATGAGCTCTTTAAATAATTAAAGAAAATGATGTTGTACTCTTTTTCCTTCATTTATGGTTTTGTCCTTAAATACAATGAGGTTTTCCTAGATAAGATTTTAATGAAGCAACAATTGTTGATCTTGCAAGATCACAAAAAAGTATAGATCATAATTCTATACAAATTTTATATTATGTAAATATTATGATGAGCGAGAGGAGTGTTGAGATCATTAAATGTAGCCGATGCTCTCCATAATATTTACTGTAGACTACAATAAATACCATAGCTATAGTATTTAGAATCTAGTGGAGAAGTATTGTTTATTCTCTCCTTTTTTTTTTTCTTGTATACGAGACACAACCAGATCAATAGAATTTTATGTGTGAAGCTCTCTCTCCTTAGAAACCCTCTTGTGTGTATGACTTACTACTACTCTTGTGTGTATGTATTACTTACTATTACTCTTGTGTCTTTCTAAAAATTCTCAAAACATCTCAACATCTTGAGGTCTCTTAACACATTTTCTTCTTAATATTAAAACTTTCTTTATTGAATTAAAAAAATTATAATAATACATAAACTTGCTAAAGAATAATAATAAATAAATAAATAATACTATCAAAACACTAATTACCAAAGACACAAACATTTGGTAAAGTAATGTACATAAATAATCTAGTAATTGAATAAAGTTTTTTTTTTTTTTTTAACTTTGTAATTGAAGAAAAATGGCATTTATATCTACAAACATAGTAGGTACAACTATGTTGATGGGAATACTAGAAAAAGTCTTGAACTTGTATTGCTTATAAATCATGGGTGCTGGCTTGTCCAGGTACAAGGAAGCATCCACTTGCATCATTAAGAAAAAAGTACAACTCTGCACTGGATATCTTTCAATAATCTCCCTAATGTGAAGAAACTTAACAATGTCAGTCACACGCATAGAGTGCTCTGCATGAACACGCCATTCATACCAAGAATAAATGGTGAAGCCTAAGTAACATCACTACTCATTTAACTGGCTAATACTGCTAGAATTCATTAAAAAAAAAAAAAAAAAAAAAAACGGAATTTAGTTCTGCAAGTGAGAGTGATCTTCATACGAGCACCTTTGAGAAGTTACTAAAAGAAAATGATGAGAATCCACGAATGTCATACTCCTCGTTCACACCCTAAGTGCTTCCTTTTCTACACTGCCTGCACTGTAGCAATGGGTTCGAATAACCATTCCTCACTTCAAAACCGAGTGGCAAGTTGGCACTAAACATGTAAACGTACTCTTGATGATGGAAACCAAAAAACATTGGACTTCCTGTGCAGGAAGCATGAAATATTCCAAGTTTCGATCCAATATTATACAGCGAGCCATTTTCATTCTCTGTCACCGTCATTCTCGTTTTCATCATCAGGCTCGAATTCCGGAAGCATAGGTACAAAGGTGCAGCAGAAGGCATCCTTGTCTTTCAACAGCAAAGCGGTACCATCTGGTATCCACTTGAGTTCAGATGCATAAAAATTGGCAAGCGGTATTTGTACGCAACAAGCGCCAGATGGCGTCCATAAGTATAACTGGGAGGTTCCTGTGCAAAGAGCGATGCGGGGATAAATAGGATCCCAAGCTGCAGATCGTATAGGATCCTTCTGAAGCAGGAGAGTTAAGAGCTCCAAGCGCACGACATCCCAAATCCATAGAGCATTAGGCATGTTATCGTTCCTGGTGAAAAAATACTGGCTGTCGGCACTCCACGCAAGCATACCTAGAAGCACAATCACGTATACTAAGTGATTTTCCTGTTCTTTTTTGTTTACAAGCCTATTCAGGTTATTCAAATATTCGTCCTCAGGATAACAGTAGAAAATGCGACATTAAAGCTGTTCGAGAAGACGCAGAGAGACTAGAATAAATTGCCAAGAATAAGTGCGCGGAGTAGGCACTTACCAATCCCTTGCTTTGGATTGGGCTTATCCACTGCTGGCTTGAGCGAAGGGACGGTCACAGGGGCCTCGACCACTTTGTAGAAAACCCTTCGTAAGGAATCACAAGGAAGCCCTGCACACAATATCCACACAGCTATTCACATGCATCGGCACACAAAACAAAAAATAAAACAGAGGAACGTGTTGAACATTGGAGTCCGAAACAACAGATCGAGCATAAGAAGCTGATGAGTATTCTTTCGAGCCAAGGCAGGAGGGACATAAAAAACAAGACACAAATAAATATAAGCATACCTGTCCTGAACAAAGGATCAAAAGTAATAACAATCGTTAGATACATATAAGCATATAAGTTAAGTTCATCCCAGTTTTACCTTTAGCGTAAATCGACTCTATGTCAGTACGCCACGGTTCATCAACCTCCTGCAACCCCGGCCCAAGTCAGTACTACATCAGAACTCAGACTATGTTGATAGAGAACAAATGGTGCATCAACAAATGACAACGAAGAAATTCATTATTGAGAACAATTAAATCGAATCATTCAATTCCCAACAGTTTGCGCACTCTAAAGTTTGTGGAATTGGACATTCCATCGGTAACTACATGTTCAAAACAATGACCCACCAAAACTGAACCTGAGAGCTGTTCTGTACCAAATTAAACCGACCTGATTTTATAGAGACTCAGAAATATTTTTTCAATGTCTCAAACAACTGAATCCGAGGACCAATAATCTAAAGAACAATGACAACGTTCTGCGAAACAGCGCCAAATGCAGCCTGCGCACTCACCTTAAAAACGATAGTCGATGAGGGGGGCCTAATTTGTGCTGGATGACTAAATTCAGCCGCAGGTTTCCAAGTCAGTTGGTTAAGAACTCGCACAATTTGGTCATAGCTACCAACTCCCAGAAATTGGCCACACGGTGACCACGTGACTGACTTCACTCCTAACGCATTTTCGTAAGCTGCGTACTTGAACAGGCAACGGCCATCAGGGGAGTAAATCAACACCTGCAAGTAGAACCAGTCGAAAGTTCAGCAACTAATAGAGTGTAAGAGAAGAATGTGTTCATGAATTTTTGCTACAAGATTTTATCTTTTAAAAACAGTCCTTACTAAGGAAAGCTCAATGAGTAATTACATTACACATCGTCTGACATTTCAACTGTAAGTGTTGATACTTCATTGCTTTCATGACTGCCAAAAAATAGGCTAATACAAAAAAAAAAACTAAAGGCGCATATTTTGCAACAGTTCAAACATACCTTGTATTCAAGAGGAGAATCCCACACAGCAACTGTACTGTCATTAGGTGACCACTCTAGATCAGCAAAGTCAGAAGTGCCGACTTCAAAATTACCCATGGCCTCCCATCCCTGGCATGCTAAAAGATGAATATAATCCCTACAATCTCGACGTGTGCCAATAGCAATGTACTTGCCATCTTTCGAGAAGGAAACAGCCTTTGTAGAATGCTTCGGCCAGGGGACATGCACACACGCAGTACTTACGAGAGACCACACAGTAAGTCGAAGCTGGAACTCAGAAGTTGTAAGGATGTGACGGCTATCTGGACTCCACCTGTCAGAGGTTTCCACAAAATTGATTAAATCTCTGCAATTTCAAAGAGAAGTTTTATTGGAATTATTGGAATTGTTGAAATAAGAGATCAGCTACCTGGCATGCACTATTCCGATAGAGCCTTCGTCGATCTTACAGGTCCACTCAGGCTGTGACACCGACCATGCTTGAACAACAGCACGCTTGAAGAGCCCACAAAGCAGATACTCTGAGTCTGGAGCCCATTCTATATAGCTGATCTTGTCCAGGCAAGAATATAACTGTACAACCTGTAAACTCAGTCCCCATCATGTCACTTCAAAAATCTGTAGTTGAAGGTCAAATCTAGGCGTTGATATTGATACTCAAATTCATTTCCTATTTTAAGATAGAAGACATAGAAATTGGAATAGGAATATAATATTGGCAATGCAGTACTTGTTAAGAGAACTGTAAGGAATGGTTAGCACCCAAACTCTGATCATCAAGCAGGATCACATGTGCAGGATAATTATTGGAGAAAAATCTAGAGAAATTCAGGAGGAAGCAGTATGCAAGCTTTAATTATATCAATATGTAATACTACGACCACGAACATCTACTAAAAGGTACGAATATAAATTTTTATGCGACACGGCTCCAGCATCGATCTAAAAAATATTATCAGATCACGCGGCTGAGATCTACAAGAGGATTCTAAAGGAAGTAATTCAACAATTGATTTCCCATGTGTCTGCTGCCACATACGAGATGTTAATAAAAAAAATACGAGTCCATGGAACATCTGGGCTTCGAAAAAATCAACAAGCACACCAACAAAATCTAAGAGATACCGTGTATCTTATAATTGTCTTCAAGGAAGAATAACCATTAACAAGGTTGAATCATAATTTCGAGAGGCATTCACGGTTTCTAGATCGAGGCACGCTTGTATCAAAGAGGAAGAAAGAATCTGAATAATTTGCTTCTAGAGAATCTATCAAAGAATCAAGAATGCATGATGAGTCCCGATTAGACTGTACAGCCTTCTAAGGGGCATGCACTGAGAGAGAAATCCAGTGCGCCTCTTCTCTAGAACAAACTGCAATGCAAAGCGACATGTGGATGACAAACTGCATCCGATGTAATTTTTGAGGTAAATGTCTAGTCCCGCAGCATAGTACACACATCGATTCACCGGAACTTGGAGAGAAATCCTAATATCTACCGATTGAATCTTGCCTTCATCACCTTCTGGAAGGAGTCAGTATGCATCGCCTATCTTTAGCTAGAGCATGACTTCCTTGGTGCCAAAAGAAGACGATAACAGAATGGCAAGGAGAGATCACCTTGAGAGAGACCACATCACGGATAACTAGCCGATAGTCGACTGCAACAGCCAAAAATCTGGCGTCAGGGGAAAAACAGCAGGCCCCCGAGTGCTTGTATGTATCGCTAAATTCCATCTCTCCCACCTCAAGAGGAAAACCCCACTAATAGCTCAACTGCCCCAACTCTATGCCCTCCTTCGCCGCTTCCAACCCATCATCGCTGCCACTGCTCCCTTGACACGCAACTCTCACTCGATCATCGACAATGCAGAATCGCCACGTCCTGAAGTGTCTGCTCCTCTTCCACTACCTCTACTACAGCAATTGCGAGAGAAGAAAGAAGCGCCATGACGTTGTCACCAAGAAAAGCTTCAGAATCGGTGAGACAAAGAGGAATTCGAGAGAACTTGTAAAAGACCATGGAGATGGATTTGAACGGTGTTGCGTCACAGCTAATGGAGATGAGACTAACTTATACGACAACAATCCAAAGAAGGCGCCGGACCAGCAACCTTCACAGGATTGGAGCCATGTAAAATTTGACATTTCTATTAATTCCACGGCGAAATAGAATGCGGCACCCCATTTTTGGGATCTAGATTGAAGATCTTTCTCATTGGGATTGATGCCCGGCCTTGTCACCTGTAACCGTGGCCGGGGCAGAAACTTTGCTTGTAATCGCTGCTCGGCACAAACCTCGCGTTGGCGGAAGCCTACCCCTGTTTCTTTCAAGCATCAGGATCTCCCATTTGTAACTGCATGACTTGTTCTGGCATTGGATCATTGTTTCTTGCGACGCTGTCGGAGATTGTGGATTATATTGTTTCTGTAAGTGCTCAATTGAAATTTGGGCATCAGAGAGGTGGGCATTGAGATTCATTGTCGAGAGTCTTCTATTTTGCGAATGCTTTAAGATAGAAGGGAGGCGGAATCCAGCTTGCCATCGGAATCAATTGCCGGATCTGCTTTCTGTCGTTGTGGGCCTCAGAAAAGTATGTCTTATTCTGTTTATTTTCCTTCAAATGGGAATAATTGTGTTGTTTTGAGCATGCATATTAGTTTACATGTCTGTCTTCGCTCTGGATTCCAGGGCTAGGTCGTCAGTGTGCTTGTCAGAGTTGGAATTTTTCCAGCATCTTCCCAATTCGAGTGGTTTCGTTCTGATTAGTGAGTTGCAACCTCTTTGCTTACGACACCAAATTAAAGGCGTGGCGCTTAGTAATGTCCTCGACAGAGGTCCTTTATTTCTCACAGCATACCCAAAGAAGACGCAATCCAAAGTAGGACTCCCGATTGAAAGAAAACAGCCGTGTTGGTGATTGACATAGAGGTTCAGAGGCATGGCTAATGTTCATATTGTTAACAATGAAGAAAACCATGGGTATTGCTCGCGGAGGTCAAGTATTGGTGATTTGCATGTACATAAGGAGTCCTTGGATTACTGTACAAGTGGTGGAACGGAAATCACCTTGAGGTCGGAACCCTGAGTGCAGAACTCATGTCTGAGGTGCGTAATTTTTGAAGTAAGTCATAGTGCCATCTAATAGGTCCATCAATCTACAAGTGGGTTTCAGTTTGAATCTTCTTCTCTACCCAGCTTTCAGCTTTTCATCGATTTACTGCTTCCAAATGCTACCAGATTTTTAAGAGAGGATTGCACAGTTAAATGCTAAGCGACTGTGAAGACCAATCGAACATAAGAACAAAACTGTTTTTTCACTAAAGAAACAGAGACAATTCCATAGAAGCAACAATAGAGTTTACACCATATACTTCATATGATGATGTTCTACAAGTAGCTTCAAAGTAGAGATAAACATGGCAATGCCGAAAGTGAGCACATTATTCAGGAAGTGTGCATTGTGTCTTTCGTGTATCTTGCAAATAGCCACATCTTTTAAGATATACAATTTCTATACACCCAACTGGAATGGTAATAAAAATTCATTTTATTGCCATATGTGTAATATGGAACCTTATCAAAGCAAAATATATTCATACATATCTTTAAAAGACCCTAAAATAATATTAAATGGCCTAGTAGAGAAAACAATTGTATCTCAAAAAAATTAATGTCTTTAGAATGTTGTCTTTGGAAAAAAAAAAAAAAAAAAAAAAGGGTTTTTTTTGCAAAACTTTCATCCTTTCTAGAATGTCTTATGATTTTTTTATAACCTTTTAAAAATAATAATCAAGTTTTGAAGAAAAAAATACTAAAAAAAATCACCCAGTAGCTTCTTTTGCAAGGTTTTTATGTTAAGTTACTAAATAAGGTTTTTATGTAAAGTTTGTTAAATTAGTAAAAATAATTCATTATTATTCAAAAATATTGATGTATATATATATATATATATATATAAGTTGAAATGGGACGAGTCGGAATTTGTGACATCTTGGTTTGAATATGATTTTAATGAGTGTGCATGGAGCTTGTACCAATCTTAACTAAAATCATTATAATCGGTTCATAAATTCAAATAAAATTGTCTATTAAATTCATTTAGGAAAAGAAAAAGAAAAAAAGTGTGGTACAATTGGCATTTAACAACCTGCAAGTTATTATCAATAAAGTATGTATTCTCAACTTTTAAACAAAGTAATTTAAATTTTCATCTTATTCATTTTAAACAATATATTTAAAATGAAGAATTTTTTTAAGTACTTAATGATGAGTAGTTGAATCTAAAAGTAAACCAAACTTCGAACCATCTAAATGAGATTTTTGTTGCTTAGAGATTAAAAATTTTAAGAGAAAAAAACTAATGTTTGCTATAACTCTCAAGTCATGTTTAAAGGACTTGTATATAGACAGTTGTAAATATGGCAATGGACACTATTCTTGGCCTCAAGTATCTATTCTAGACATGATTAGAAAGCATAGTATTTAATGTTTGTTTTTACAACCCATATATGTTATTATTAGTTTATAATACCAAAAAATATATAAAGATTTTATTTTCTTTTTATAAAACTTATTGTTGGATAAATAGATTATATCATAGACAATGATTTCTATTTTTGTATAATTATTTTTACACTCTTTTAGATTCTCATAGAGTCTACTAGAATATTTTATAAATATCTTGATAACTTTTAACAAAAGAATAAAAGAAATAATGGGGAAAAAAAAAACAAAACAAAACAAAAAAAAACAATTAAAAATAAGCCTAATGATCTATTTTAATAGTTAAAGTGATGAACTTTCAAGGATAAACTTGGTCGTGTCAATAACAAAATGAGACTTAAATTGCAATTGACTTTCATCTTGTTGATACCTCTCTTAATCTTACTTATTTAGTAATTTGGAGGCCTCCATGTATCCTGATAGAAAAATTTGGCTTCCTTGAATAAATGTTTTTTACCATTTATTTACGAATTTCATAGATTTATCCACAAATACCAATTTATACATACAAGTTGTGTATTTTCACATCAAATAAAATCAAATGATACTATCCATATTTCCATTCACACTAGAATTTTACAAATGCATACAATTTATCCGTGTGTGGATGGATGGATGAACTGATGAAAATCCTTGGTCGAAGCCAAAAGCAAATCTCTGTACTGTGCTCTATTTAGACAACTATCAAGCTTTGTTACCAATTAATGATTTTACAGAAATGTTCTGTGTTGTGTTTACTTGTCACATTGAATATTTTTTGCATTTACAAAATTTTGATAAAATAAGTATTGGTTTGTAACAGAATTTTTTAAAAATAAAAAGTCATCAATTAATCAGGTTAGGATATACACATATATTCATGGTTTTCTAAGAATTATTCCTTATTATATTATTTGGTTTATATATATATATATATATATATATAGATGTATAAAGTCCAAATACATAACAACTAGGTCATGTGTTTAGACTGAACTCGCCCCAAAATAAAAAATAAAAAGGTCTTATCATCTTATATCTCATCATTAATGTCACTTAATGAAACATTCACCATTGTCAGGACTTGTACCAAATTACTGTTGAGTAGGAAGTAAAAAAATATAATTTCAGAACCACAAATGTATGCCTATTTGTGCATACTTAATTTTTTAAGCAAAAAAATAGAAAAAATAAAAATAAAAATAAATACAAGGTAGTATTACTAAAGAACACTAAAGAAAAGGAAAATAAGATCATTATAAAACTTTTAAAAAATAATAATAGTAATAATCATAATAAACTAAACAAATTTCAATGTGTTGTTTATGAAATGCAATGAACATAAGATGTTATAATCTTGCTCTAAGTGAAGTTAGTAAAGTAATGAAATTGAAATGAAAAACTAAGTAGTAAAGATTTAAATACAAAATAATTAAGTAAATGATTTAGCATGGACATCTTTAGAACAAAGAAAAGTTTTAAAAACACATTGGATGAATTTGTACATAATAAAGACAATGCAACATCAATAGAAGTTAGCCACCTCAACTATTGACAACATGAATAATTGATAGAAGTATAAATTATATGTGATTAAATCAAAGATCATAATTTTTTTAAATATGTATTTATAGCAACAAAAATATTAGAGGGATTAGAATTAATTTCCAAAATATGTTGCATATTAGTAAAAACAAAATACATAAAACACTATTTTAGATAAAACATATATAATGTTAAAAAAGCATTTTGATTTAAAGTGATGAACTATATATATATATATATATATATATATACATATATAAAATAGAAGATGAAAAAATTGAGAATATATTTGAAATTATTATAAAATATATAAGATATTTTTTAAAAAGAAAAAAAATTCTTATAACTTATTGAAATGAAATAAGTAAATAGACTAATAAAATAGATACAATGATTATATAATGTTAAAAAATTAGGATTATTATTATTATTATATATTTAATGAAAAACATACATAAATTTTTTATGTTTGTTTTTTGTTTGTAAAAAGAAATGAATTTTTATTTCAGCACACAAAAGTAAAATTTTATATTCATAGTGTTACAATAGAAACAATCTTGGTACTTTGGCACTTGACGATTGTGTCCTTTTTGAACGTATCGTGCCTCAGAAAACTACCCAAACCAGATTTTCACAAGAATACTGACACAGCTTTCTCATGCATCCAAACGAGGTATTTAAGAAACCTCCACAAACTGAAACTCTTGAGGACAACTTATATCTAGAGGAGTTGTGTCGCAGTGTAAACGGGGGTCAGGACAGAATACATGCGAATTCGAACTCGGCGATGGCAGTGGCGCGGGCCTCGCGGGAGAGGTCCCGTGTCGCCGCAACCTCTTTTCGGCTTCGCAGATTCGTATTTGATGTTATGGTTCGCAGTCTTGTGATCGAAGTGAACAGAGGCGCCGAGAGGGGAGTTGTTGTGACATGTCAGAGCTTTGCTGTGGATGGGAAGACTGTGGAGCCTTACGGGATTGCGGACAAGCGGAAAGTAGGGGTTGGGAGGATGATCGACGAAAGGGACTAAGAGGTTTAGTTCACCGTGCTTTCATCTGCGCCTTGGCGTCACTGCTTGTGTTTGAGTGTGTGTGAGAGAGAGAGGGACGAGTAGGCAGGCCTTGCCGCATTCTTGTCTGTTGATATCAACTGTA